GCGCTGTGGCTCAAGCAGTAGAGCGCTCACCTTGCGCTTAAGAGCTTAGGGACAGCCCCTAGGCCCAGAGTTCAAGCCCCATGACCGACAAAAAAAAAAAAGATGATGAAACTCATTAATGATCACAAAAGTACCAGTCATTTTTATGACTGATAGCGTCTTTCCTATAGCTGGATTTGATAATTTTCATAAGTTAGAAACATATAGATCATGAATTCTTCTATCATGGATATAATCTTCTTCCTGAATCAATATTTATTTCTGAATTTTGCTTCAATATTTCTTTTTGAGACAAACAGTAGATTCATCTAATTGCATTCTACCTAAGTGCATATCTAAATTGTCATGATACTTTCTCTTGATGCCACAAATAATCTGCAGGATAAAATAAATTAAATCTGAGACAATCAAAAGTGAAAACTAGTGAATTTTATATCATCATACTGATAATTATACTGAATACATTAAAATTATACATAAATCTATGATGAGGGAAAGACTTTAGGACCATAACTATATTCAGTAAAGATCTAGGAAAATGAGCCATCATATATGCAGTTAAAATGAAATTCCTCAGCTGTCTTAATTAGTCTACCACTACTTTTAGTGAAAGTCACTCTCAGTTTTGTCATCATCAGAATCATTCTGAGATACTGATACCTAACTATAGGTGAAGGAATTTATCTCTAACCTGAAAATTCTTTGTTTCCTCTAAAAAACAGAGACAGCAGTGAAAAGTTTAGCAGGGTGCTTTTTGTTTCTCCCTTCACTTCCTGCTCCTTACTGCATGATAACGAAACATTTTATTAGTATTAATAGCACTTCATACTTACATCCAACCAAAAAGTAAATAACTATATATGAAAACTAAGGTTTATTAGAGGTTACACAGCTAATATGTGGCTGAAAAATCAAAAGCAAAACTTCTAAGTCTAGTACTATTTCTAATTGTGTTGTTGTTATAATGCAAATAAGGCAATCTGAATTTACATGAGTTATCAGACCAGTAACACTAGAACATTAGAGATAACCGAAAGGTAAAGGGCTGATCATCAAATTCCATTCCAACATTTAAAACATAAACTAATAAAAACATACTGAAAGTTTCTCTCTTTAAACATTCTTATTCTTCTATGTAAATTTACTATTGGAAAAAAAAAACATCATTCTAGCAGAAATGAAATGTACTAAGAAATGAATAAATTCTGCATAATTTACTGATAACCCAGTACATATCAATATACAGATCTATATGATCATTAAGATGAAATGGCTTACGAAAGTAACCAAATTAGAAGGCTTAGTCAGGGTTTTTGTTGTTGTTGTTGGTGGTGGTGGTGGGGCTTGAACTCAGGGCCTGGGCCCTGTCCCTGTGCTCTTTTGTTCAAGGCTAGCACTCTATCATTTCGAGCCAGAGCTCCACTTCTGGCTTTTGAGTGGTTAATTGGAAATGAGAGTCTCAAGGGGACCTTTGTAGACTGGCTTGGAACCATAGTCAACAGATCTTAGCCTCCTGAGTAGACAGGATTACAGGCTTGACTCACTGGTGCCCAGTAAGAACATACTTTTTTATTTTTTTTTTATTGGTCCTGGGGCTTGAACTCCAGGCCTGGGCACTGTCCCTCAGTTTGTCAGATCAAGACTAGCTCTACCACTTGAATCACAGCACCACTTTCGGTTTTCTGGTGGTTTGCTGAAGATAAGAGTCTCACAACCTTTTGTGCTCAGGCTGGCTTTGACCCGTGATCCTCAGATCTCAGCCTCCTGAGTAGCTAGGATTACAGGCATGAGCCACTGGCTCCTGGCAGAACATATATGCAAAATCCTTGAAGAGAAAAAAACAGGAATAAAACATATTTTAAGGGGAAAAAATGACTCATAGCTAAGAAAGTCTTATCTGAATGGAAATGAAAAAACTATTTCTAGGCCTGTAGTATATTTGTATGTTACATACAGGATCTTTCAATTACTGTTCCTGCTGGAGACTGGAAAGGAAAGCAGATTTACCAAGATGGGTATTGTACTATCTTATCATCTTGAAGTTTATAATCTTCCTGTGTTACTTGTGAATGGAAAGAATGAAATACCTTAAAAGAACTTCAAAGGGCTGGGGAGGTGGCTCAGTGGTAGAGTGCTTGCCTTGCATGCATGAGGCCCTGGGTTTGATTCCTCAGCACCACATAAGCAGAAAAAGGCAAAAGTGGTGCTTTGGCTCAAGGGGTAGAGTGCTAGCCTTGAGCTGAAGAGCTGAGGGATAGCACCCGGGCCCAGAGTTCAGGCTCCAAGACCGACAAAAAAAAAAAAAAAAAGAACTTCGGAAATGAAAGGTATATGGATGGTGACTCCAAACGGATCTACTAGACAAAGCAAAAATATCCCAAGGACTTCAAGGGGATGAGAGAAAAGAGATAAATGTTAAAAGAAAATAGTAAATATTTAAAATCCTAATTGGCAATAGATAGTTTGGTATTAACTACATTTGAATACCATTAACATAAAAATATCTACTTTGTTCACTTAACATGAATATTAAGTAATCTTCTAGAAGGTCTTTTTAATAATTCTATCCCTCATAAAGATGTGCCCTAACAAATAATTACTTTTATACATTATAGTTGCTCCCATTTTCCCTATCATAAATAGTAGTGTAATTAATAAATATATTTCTAGGAAAATCTTTGTACATTTCTGATTTTTTATGAGTATGGGTATGCAATTTACCTCAATGTAAAAGTTTTGCAGATCAAAAAATAATGTATTTTGATGGGTAGATGAATAGGTATATAATAAATCAAGCACAGAAAAATGTTAATTGTAGAATCTGGGCGGTGAGTATAAAGATGTTCCCTGAAAATTTCTTTCAACTTTACCATATGTTGAAATTCATTGGAAAATGTTAGAAGTAAAAAATGGAAAAAATTATATTGTATGAGGCTAAATTCCTAGAATTGAAACGAATCACATATAGCATGTGCACAATTTTAAATTTTGTAATGTTAAAACATCAACTCAAAATTGTCAGTTCCTTCACACTGTCAACACTTTTTAGTGCTTTTAAGCTCTCTGCCAACTTGTTAGAGAAAAACTGGAATTCATTTTTTAAATCATTATTTCTATGGGTTTTTTAACTAAAAGTTAATATATAATGAACTGAAAAGTTTCCTAACATGCTTGGCTTCAGATTTGATGTTAGTTATCTGAGCCATGAAGCATTACTCAAAATTGAAGTACTCACTTAACTTAGTGCCAAGCACAATACTGTCAAGAATAACTTTATACTGGAAAAAGGTAATTTCAGACCATTATCAGACAAGTAAAAGGGCTAATGCCTAATTGCCAAATTGGCCTGATTTAACAGATTCTCAGAAAGACTCTTCCCATTTTACTAGGATGTTTAGAAAATGAACATCAGTAATTTCTACTTTTCTGCTGAAACAATTAGGTCCCACTAATCTTCTTTCAGAATTCAAGTATCTGTCAGACATTGGTGATCACATTTGTAATGCTAGCTACTTGGGAGGCTGAGAATGGACAGTTCCTGGTACAAATCCAGCCTCATTAACAAAAATCTGTATGACTCCATCTCAACGGAGAGAAACTAAACACAGTGTTAAGTGATTCTTAACCCAGCAAAAGGAGAAACTAAAAATTGGTGGATCAGGGTGTAGACAAGCTGGAAAGTACATAATATTCTATTTTTAAAATAATCAGTGAAAAACAGGATTGTAGACATGGCTCAGGAGTAGAAAAACCTACAAAGCAAGTATGAGGCCCTCAGTACAAATCTCAGCTTTAAAAAATGCCTGGCTGGGCACCAGTGGCTCAAGACTATAATCCTACCAACTCAGGAGTCAGAGATCTGGGGATCTCAATTTGAAGCCAGCTCAGGCAGGAAAGTCATAAGACAAAAATCCAGAAGTGGAACTGTTACTCATGTGGGAGAGCAATAGCCTTGTGCACAAAAAGCTCAGGGACAATACCCAGGCCCACAATTCAACCCCCCATGACTGGCAAAAAAAAAAAGGAAGGAAGGAAGAAAAAAAGCCAAAAATGTTAATTACTATGCATCCAGAGAATACAATATCATGGAGCCATTAAAAAGAACTATGGAATTATGCATTTACTGATATGGACAGATGTCCATGATATTTTAGGTCATTCCAATATGCATGGTAGAAACAAATAGAATGATAATTACTAAATTACTAAAATGTTAATGCGTTTACCTATCAAAAAGTCTATGGAAAATTTTTTTAACCTTTTATACATTTCCATGTTACTTATTTTTAGAGTGGTATGTATTTTTTAGCAATAAGAAATATGAAAACACTATTTGCATTTTGATAAAAACAAAATTTTATATTTTACAAATCACCCAATATCTTAATAAAATTTAATTCAGCAAGCAGGTCAAAAGAGTATGAGAATGTTGATGACACTTCCTTTGTACAACTACTTAAAGATAATTTTTAAAAACTGTCAGATTTAATTTGGCAAGTTTCTCAAGTCAATAGTTGAACTATCTAAGGAATAACCTAGATCATATATTTCAAGTGGCTAGAAAAAAGGGTTTAAGGCAGACCAGGGAAAGCGTTCCCCAGTAAGAACTAAGTAGTCTAAGGATAATACTAGAGGATTTCATTGAAGAAAAAAATCAATAGTCAACAAAAGGTATTTTGTGGTCTTCAGATTCAAGGGAAACTAAAAGTGTGAAGGCTCACTACAGCCAAATAGGACTCAGTGAATACAAAATTCCTGCTTTCATTATTATACAAGAAAATAACTTTATAAATGATGTTCCCATCTCCTCCTACAACAGGCTCAGGATCCAGGAGCAGTAAATTTTTTAAGTGTATATATATACACATATTTATGTATATATATACATATATATATGTATGTATATATATATATATATATATACATAGTAATGGTTCTGAATTCTAACATTATTCTTCACAAATACTAAAAAGGAGAATATGGTGTGTTAAGCTACTTACCTCCATGGGAGAACATGTCTGTACACTAGCAGATTTTCCTGGATATGACATTGAAGTCTCATTTTTTATTTGAAAATGTGTTTTACACATGTACCCATCACAGCAGTCCTGTGTTCCATAACCAAAAAAAAAAAAGACAATTAATTTGAAAATTCAACACTAAGAACCACCAACTCCCAAGTTTCAAGCTAAGCAAAGGAAACTAAGTATACAAATGAGATGAGATGATATGGTTAAAGAGCCTAGTCCAATGTACCCTGTGGGCCAATAAATACAAATCTTGTTCCCTAACCTCTTTGTTTTCCTAACTTCAATATCCTCTACCTTTTTTTGGGGGGGTCGGTCGTGGGGCTGGAACTCTGGGCTTGGGCGCTGTCCCTGTGCTCTTCAGCTCAAGATGAGCGCTCTACCGTTTGAGCCACAGCATCACTTCTGGTTAATTGGAGATAAGAGTCTCACAGACTTTCCTGCCCGGGCTGGCTTTGAACCGTGATCCTTAGATCTCAGCCTCCTCAGTAGCTAGGATTACAGGCGTGAGCCACCGGTGCCCCGCATCTTCTACTTTTTTTTATCCTACTAGACCATAGAACCAAAGTCAGACAGCAAAACATTTAAAAACTTTTAAACTTACCTAAATATCTTGTCACTTAGTTAATAGTGATGTGCATGGCTTTTATAAAGAAAGAAGTTTTCAGGAAGATTTGCAAGGGATAATGAAGTTATAAGGAAGCTTTTGTTTCCAATTCTTTTTTAATCTAAGAACTTTATTAAATGTCTCAAGGAAGCCAGAGACAGTGGCTCACTTCTATCTTCCCAGTTACTGAAGAGAAGAGAAATTGGGAAGATCACATTTCAAGGCAAGCAAAAAGTTGTCAGACTTAATGGCAATGTCCCTATCATTGTGCAATGAAGGATCATATTCTAAAGTTTGGATCCCAGGCAAAAACATAATAATTCCTAGAGAATGAAGCTAAACCAAAGTGACTAGGAGTGTGGCTGAAGTGGTAAAGTACCTGTCTTGCAACTCAGAGCAAGGCCCTTAATTCAGACACCAATACTACCCAAACAAAACTCACAGGGAGGTAATTCTATGGCATCTGCCTGAGAACCTCAAGGAACCTGGACTTTTCATTCCCCTTACTTCCACTTTGGTATACTGTACATTAAGGAAGTTTTGTCTTATGCTGCATTCCTTTTTCACAGAACTTCTCTTCGAAGAGTTTCAGACAATGACCACAATTTTCATCTATGTATTGTGGGAAATGTTCTCCAAGCCCCTCACTAATTGTATTTCACTATTTTTTGCAGATGCTAATAAATATATTAATGGATGATGTTCATCTAATTATAATCAGTTCTATTTTTAAGGTAAAACATGATTCCATAGAGTCATCTATAAGGATATAGTATCTCTCTGTGCATAACCATACTTGCAACCCAAGGAATATTAATTCTCCCTCAAATTATCACAATAATACTCACATTTTAGCAGAATTAAAACAATGACAAGAAAAAAAGTTTTTTTCATCTTTTGACAAGAAAAGGAAATTTTGGATATTGAGACACATAAAGGTCTAAGAAAGCCACGTGAAAATGGAGATTGCGGTGGTGCAATTACAAGCCAAAAAAAATTCAGGATTGCTGACAACCACCAGAAGCTAGAAAAAGGCAAGAGGGCTCTTCTCTAGAACCTTCAGAGGGAACATTATCCTGTCAAAACCTTGGTTCTTGACTTTTATCTTCCAGAACCATAAATTTCTGTTATTTTAATTCAACTAATGCATGTTATCTTATTATCTTGGCATCTCAAAAAAAACAGTTGTTTTTTTTTTAATAAAGCTTAAGGGATTGAGCTATATCAGTGGAGGAGCACTTGCCTAGCATTTATAGGCACTGGGTTTGATCCCCAGCAACAAAAAATCATTTTTTTGGGGGGGGGTCCGGTCATGGAGCCTGGACTCTGGGCCTGGGCGCTGTCCCTCAGCTCTTCAGCTCAAGGCCAGCGCTCTACCACTTGAGCCACAGCGCCACTTCCGGCTTTTTTCTTTTTGCTTATGTGGTGCTGAGGAATCGAACCCAGGGCCTCATGCATGCAAGGCAAGTGCTCTACCACTGAGCCACCTTCCCATCCCCCCCAAAAAAATTTTTAAAACTTAATTTTTCAAAAGAAATTTAATATTGGCTTAAATGGAGAAAGATTATAGAGACAATTGTCATCACTGCTGCTTGGTTTACATCAAAAATGTATTCCTCTTGGGAATATTAGCCACTTTTCCTGAATTGTTACTACTTCCCTCACTGTCAGTGTTGATATGGCCTCTCAGATCCAGGGACAAACAGAGAACTCTGATCTGGACAATCAAGGCCTCAGTCTTGATCTCCTATTACAGCCAATGAGGTATACTTCAAAATTTGGTTTTAAAGCAGAAATATTCTATTTTTCATTAGATCTCACCAAGACAAAAAAAGAAAGCCTGGCAGTCAACACATAATTAAGCTGAACTTAAAAACAAAATGAAGCCAGGAGGCAGTGGCTCACGCTGTAATCCTAGCTACTCAGGAGGCTGAGAGCTGAGGATTGCAGTTCAAAGCCAGTTCAGGAACGTAGGTGGGGGGGGAGGTAGTGGAAGCAGGGGAAGGAGAAGGATTGGGATTGGGGGAAGGGGGGAGGCTGGGAAGGTATGTGAAGGGTAAACAAAGGAGGAGGCTGCAATGCTTGGTAAGAAATGTATGCATTATCCTGCCCATGTAATTTTAACCCCTCTGTACAGTATGTTCACAAATAAAATTAAATTAAATTAAAAAAAAAAAGCCAGTCCAGGCAGGAAAGGCTGTGAGCCTCTTATCTCCAATAAACCACTCAGAAACTGGAAGTGGCTCAGTGGCTCAAGTGGTGGAGCGCTTGCCTTGAGCTGAAGAAAGCTGAGGGACAGTGCCCAGGCCCAGAGTTCAAGCCCCACCACTGACAAAAAATAAAAATTAAAGACCTACGAAGTGAACATAGAAAAAAGCAAGACCATAAGATGCAGTCATCAAATTCTGATTGTGCTATTTGTACAAAGCTACTTCTATCCTTAAATTTTTCAATTAACCTGTCTCTTTTCTGTTTCACCTAAGTTCAGTTTTCTGTCACTTGCAGCTAAAATAATTTTGCTATTAAATTACATATATTTTGTTTAATAGTTTAAAAATAGGAAAATTCCACAATAAAAAAAAGAAAAAAATAGGAAAATTCACTGGGCACCACTGGTTTATGCCTGTAATCCTAGCTACTCACGAGGCTGAGATCTGAGGATAATGGTCAAAGCCAGCCCAAGCAGGAAAGTCTGTGAGCCTCTTATTTCCAATAAACTACTCAGAAAAAGGCAGATGAGGCACTATGGCTAAAGTGGTAGAGCATAGCCTTAAGCACAAAGAGGCTCAGGGACAGAGCCCAGTCCCTGAATTCAAGCCCCAATACTGACAAAAAGAGAGAGAGAGAGAGAGAGAGAGAGAAAGAAAGAAGAAAGAAAGAAAGAAAGAAAGAAAGAAAGAAAGAAAGAAAGAAAGAAAGAAAGAAAGGAAGGAAGGAAGGAAGGAAGGAAGGAAGGAAGAAAGAAAGAGGAAGAGAAATTCACCTATTTTATTGCCACTTCACTACTTTCTTTTAGGGAAGGAAACTTTTCTAGGGAAAAGTTTTTTTTTTAAGAAAAAGGTTAATATTGCTAGGAAAGGAGAGTTTTAGGATGTTGATGTCCCTTGAAACATTAACTTCCACATGAGGTATCTCTTAGACCTACATTACTTTAAAGCAGTAAAATAAGTTTTGTTCTTCACTATTGAAGAATGCTTTCTTGTTAGAGACAAGTAAATGTTAACAGCACAAGAACTGTCATAATAAATCAGCACTACATCAGTCTAGTCCAATAAACAATGGTAAACTCAAATCTCATGGCAATGAGATTTCCTGAAGAAGCTAATGAACATACCTTCCTCTTGCTGCTCTGCTTTCTACTTATACTTACTATAGTTTAAAATTTATTGTTTATTATTTAATTTTTAAACATTTGTTAGTTTCATTTTTTCCCCATAGATCATAAATTCAGGGCCTTAGCTCCAGCCCCTAAGGGAAGCCCAGGCCTGAACTACAGAATCCAGATTGCCATTCCATAAAACACTGATCCAGAGTCTGAAAACGAGAATACGAGGACATAAGAATAAAGAGAACCTTGTAACTTACCAAGTTCAACCCTCTTCTTTTAGAGACAAGAGGGTGAGAGACTGAAATACTTCTTTTAAAAAACCTTGTTTTTCAGCTAATTAAGGGCAGGACTGAAATGGAAAACAGGTCACTTGACCAAAGCATTCTTTCTAATACACTAAGCAAGGCAAGCGCTCTACCACTGAGCCACCTTCTCAGCCCATTTTTTTCTTCCAGAGAACAAGACTTTGGCAAGAAACATGCTTACTGTCTTGGGTAGACAGGTACAGGCCAGTGGGTAGCATTTTGACTTTGACTAACAAATTGAAAGCTCTCAAGTGTGGTCTAGGTACCAGCAGCTTCAGCATTACTTGAGAGTTTATTTGGACAGGCGTAATCTCCAGCCCCATCCCAAATCTCCTGAATCTCCATCTACAGGGAAAATCAGTTGATTTGTGTGCACATATGGCAACTTGTACTGCAAACCCTAACTCAAAAGGGATAGCACACCAAATTCATTAGCAGAAGTCCTCAGCTCTAGATGCACATGAGATTCCAACCTGAGGAGTTTTCCAAACTTTGTTCCTGGGTTCTCATCTCCAAGCAATTAAGCTAGAATCTCTCACAGAACAATCTATGACATCAGCCAAGGTTAAGAAGCACTGCACTGACTCTGCAGCCAGGTTTCTGAACCCAGAAAACAGTCAGTGGAGTAATCTGCAGCTGCCTCATGAGAAAAGGTCGCAAGTTGGGATCTTCATGAAGATCACAGCTCAGCTGGAGCTCTCCAAATGGTAAAAATCACCTCTTAAAGGAATTTTGACTATTCTGAGATAGCCCTTACACTGTTTTTACTACTACCTCAAACCTTCTCTCTAGTAAATTTTTCCATCCTTGACTTAGTTCTCTGCAAATGCCACTGATCTTG